TGTTATTCGCTATCACTAAAAACTCAAATATTTGACTTAACATTCATTATAACACCATGAAAGTCATTTAAACATAGAATTGAAAAAAAACTATGTTCTTTTCTAACTTTTTATTATTATTGCAAAACACCACTTGGATCATCATATTGGATAATCTCTGTTTCGACTTCAGCAACGAATCAGTTTCGATTTATGCTTGTGTAAGTAATTAGAATACATAGGTTTCTCTAAGAAATCCTCTGCTTTCTAAATAGATTGAAAAAAAAACCAGTTTGCTATTTTCAAATTTTCTCTAGTAATCCATGCCATTCGTTTTGTATACCCACAACTATATCATTATACTTTTAAGAGCTTCAACAGACACGAAATACTGAGATTAGCAAGAATTCACGAAGTTTTCGTTTCATTTCCTTAAACTACTTAGAAAGTCAACAGAAAAATGGAATCATTTTTTGAAAATTTTTCTATTCAACATCAGACAGCATATGAATGATATGAAACATGGATTTCGACTTGTCAATATTATTTAAAAAAATGACTAATCGAAAAATTCTGTTAATTTTTCCGTGTCGAACCAATAAATCTGGAACAAAATCTTGATAAATGACTAATAAATAATTTAGGATTAGCCTGTTTTAAATAAAATATTCAATTATTCCTTCACTTTCTTGTTCTCAAACATTCAAATATTTTGCGAGAATTATATTCATAAAGATGTAAGAAATAAGATTGTGAGAATCTAAACATATTGAAAGAGTAGAAAATAAAAAAAGGTTGAGTGAGAAAAGCATTAAAAGTCAAGCTTTGTAGATATATGTCTTTATGATCGAGATGCTATTATTGTTCACGATCACTAATAATGGAACACTATCCAAACACATGTGTAGCCTTGCAAATCATTTGAACATATCGTCTCAGTTAATGATCGATTGTTTTAGAGAATTAATATTTCCAAAAAAATCACTCTTTTTCTTTAGCATTGGTTCTATGGATAGTCTCGTACAGTGCGTTTCTGTTAGATTGTCAAGTGTCTCAAGTCAGGTGATATTGTACTCTTCTTTCTTGTTAGTCACGATGTACAATAGAAAGAGTAAAATTATTTGATATAGCACAATGAAGATCGTATTGATGAGATAATCAGTTTAGGACATCAAGCAACAAATATGCAACATTCTCTCGAATTACTGTCAGCAGAAAATTTTTTTGTCATTGTATATCTTCTGAACTATTGTCGAAAGTACTGATTACCCGGTACATAGTTAGAGGTAGAACTATCCAACTCTCTAAAAGTATGACTTCAATATGTACATTATTTTTCATTGAAATCTCCAAAATCTTTCAACGTTTGGTTGTGACGACGTGAAAAAGAAATTAAACGTTGATAATCAAAGTGATACTAACTGAGATTTTTCGTTGAGATGTATTTCTTAGTGTTCCTAATATCTGGTATTAAGTCACTTTGGCATATTCATAAATTTTATGCAAATAATTATCAAATTAAGTAATGATTCATAGACAAGTGAATAATTCATTCAGTTAAACTACTTGAACTGAATTTATAACGAAAACCAAATTAGTTATTCCATTTTCAACAAATCGAATTTTTATCCATTAATTTTTGTTGTGTATTTTGCCATTGTCTGGAAATATTTGAATTTCAGATATTCAATTATTGAATTTAACTTTTAAGTTTTAACATATAGAATGTTATTTATAATTTTCATATCCAATTTTTAAAAAACATTATACCTTACCTGTACTCGATTTGCGCTCATGCACATCCCATTTAAATTGTATCATATATTAACCATAATTATGACATTTGAAACCATGGAAATATAAAAATAAATGTTAAATAGTTGGGTAGATAGATGTAGGTAAGTAATTATTTAATGGTTGGCATAAATGACATATCTGACATGCAATAGAATAATGACTTGTGATTACAAATACTAACTGAATATGAATCAAATGAGAGTTATGAAAAAAAAGATCTGAGATGATGAATATAATCAAAGCTTTTTGCTTATCAGCATTGTCTATATTATATTCATGTACATGAGTAATTGTCAATCATGTGTTCCTACATTTTTGACTTTCATTGGTTTAATACTTATTTTTTTTTTGTTATTCACTGAGACTCCTTTGTTTTGCTTCATTGGTACTTATGTATAAGGACTTTATTCGTAGAATAGCGTCTGTTTTCAATCTTCCTTCGGCATTATTGTGATGTAATGATTGATATGTTCTACGAATATATGTGTATAGAATATATGATATTCTTTGTCGATGAAAGGATTAATGGGACGTGATGAGTATAGAATCAGTAGTTAGTCTATCAGACAAGCGAGCAGAAAAAGAAACAAAAAATAGTTAATAAGTGAACAATGAATACATATTTTTTTATTGTTGTAATAGGCAACAAAAAAAAAAGTGAACAGTTTCTTTTATTTAAATAAGTATCATTTTTCTTATAAGAAAGTAAGTAGGAACATTATTTGATCAAACGTAAAAATACTTGTTACTAGATACATTGACATAAAAAATTTTTTTGACATCAAAGGAATTATTATATCATATGACAATATTTTTAAAAAACTTTTCTGTTTTTAGACGCATTCATACGGTTAATAAAAACATCTTAAAATTATTTATAATTTTTTCAATTTTTATTTTTTCATCGAAAATTATATTTTATTTCATGTACTTGAAAACATTTTTACATTATTTTCTAATCTTTATACGTTCAACGCATGCGCGTTCATTTTTATGGATATTTCTTTTTATTCTTCTTATGTTTATCTTTCGATATAATATTTTAACAATATTCTATATTGTTAAAACATATCTAACCTGGTATCGATTTTCATCTGGAGTAATCAATTTTAAAGATAATTTTGATTCAACAATGTCTAGTTATCCATTAAATCAAACATCAGCTATGCCAAATTATACAAATGTAATACCAGCTATATTACATCATATTTTTATTGGTAATAATGATTTAAATAAACATTCAACATGGTTAGCTGCACGAGAAGCTTGTTTAAAATGGCATCCAAATTATGAATATAAATTTTGGAATGATACATTAGCTGAAAAACTTATTCGAGAAGAATATCCATGGTTTTTAAAAATATGGAAAAATTATTGGTATCCAATACAACGTGCTGATAGTTTACGTTATATTGTTCTTTATCATTATGGAGGAATTTTTCTTGATATGGATCTTCATTGTCGTCGTTCATTAGGACCACTTCGTCGTTTTGAATTTATTTCACCAGCTGCTTATCCTGTTGGAATATCAAATGGTTTTCTTATGGCTTCAATTCGTCATCCATTTATGAAAGTTCTTGTTGATCAATTACCATTATTTAATCGTAATTTTATTTTTCCTTATGCAACAGTTATGTTTTCAACTGGATGTATGTATATATCAGCACAATATTTACTTTATAATGATCAATGTCATTTAAAACTATTAGATTATAAACAACATCGTTTAAGTGGTCAAATATCAACACCATTATTTCATCATTATGGTAGTAGTAGTTGGCATTCTAATGATGCATCATTTATTAAAATAGCAGATAATATTATAAAAAACTTATTTTATCATAAAGAAATAATTTTATTTGTTTTCTTTATATTTATTATTTTTACATTTTATTTATTTTATCGAAGAAGAACAATAGAAAAAAAACAAAAAGAAGACATTTTATTATTTTAAAAGCACTATTTTATATTGTATAACGAAAATTTAATCCATCCAGTCTTTTATTATTTTATTTTGTTGCTAAAACTTTCAATTTTAGATAAAAAAGAATAGGTAAATAAAAAATAAACGCTTCTCTTTTTGTTTTTTGTAGATTAAACAATGAATATATTAAGAGAATGTTTAAAAAAATTTTGGTATAACGAACAAAAATATTGTAATTATCCATTAGATAAAACCGATGAAGTATTACTTCTCGATACTTCTGTATATAAACGTATCTATCGTTTATCAAACAATCGATCTTTTATTCGATTGTATCATTGCATATGTATGCATAAATTACTATTTATCATGATAGTTTTTGTTTGTATACCTATTATACTTTATATGTTTTTACTTATTTTATCGAACAGTCAAGCATTTATTCCAATACAATTTCAACAAAATCATTATCGTCTTCTTTTAGTTGTTGCTCATCCCGATGATGAATGTTTATTTTTTTCACCAACATTACATGTTTTACAAAAACAATATCATGTTAATTTAAGTTTATTAGTTTTTTCACGTGGAAATCATATCGGTTTAGGTCATATACGTGCTATGGAATTATATGATTCATGTAAAGCATTAAATATTTCAAAAGAACGTTGTATATCATTAGATTTACCTAATATACAAGATAATCCAAACGTTTGGTGGTCTGAAAAACAATTAATTCCTATGATAAATGAATATATTAATAAATGGTCTATTGATATACTTGTTTCTTTTGATAATAAAGGTATATCAGGTCATATTAATCATCGAGCAGTAGCTTTTGCAGTTCGTACATTAATAAAAACAAATAATAATACAATAATTAAAATGTCATATGAATTAAAATCTGTATCTATTCTTCGTAAATATTCATCATTATTTGATTTCTATTTAATATTTATATCATTTATTCCACGTTTTTTACGTTCATTATTATCATATGTAATTCCATTTAATTTAATATCATCACCAGATTTATCATGTATACTTCTTATTAACACACCTAATGATTATATGATATCTCGAAATGCTTTTGCAAGTCATAAAAGTCAATATAGTTGGGATAGATATATATATTTAATTGCAAGTCGCTATATGTTTGTAAATGAATTAATCTATATCAATAAAAAATTTTCATAAGAAATAATAATTTTTTGTTTTTCTTTATAATGAAACAAAAAAAGAAAACTTTATAACCTAACGAAAAATTTTTCTCATTGACAAAAAAAAAATCTTTTATAATTCATTAATCACAATGTCCGACTGGATAATGTAAAAGTACGCCATCTCGTAATAATGTTTCTTGTATGCGACTAATATTAACTGTTTGTACATCAATATTACCATTTAATATTGAATAAGCAGCTGCATATCCAGCAGCACCACCTAACAACATAAAATGTGGTTCAACTCGAGTAGCTGCATAAGCAACATGAGATGCTGCATGACATACAGGTACAAGTAAATTTGTAACTTCATTTCTTTTTGGTAGTAATATCGAATATGGTATTTCAAAAGCTGATCCACTTTTAGAACCATTTATATGTGCAATTGATTTAAACATTGCTCCTTCATTATTAACATAAGATTCATTGACTGTTCGTGTAACAACATGTATATCATGAACCCAACTACCTAATGCTATTGTATCATTACGACATAAACCACTTACAACATGATTTTGTGTAAAAACATTTTCATTGATTAAACGAAGTCCTTCACGAACATACAATTGTGGTGGTATATGTTTATTTTCTGGCCATTGATCATTACATAAACCATATTTTTGTAATGAATTTCGTGTCACTTCCGGAACAAATGGAGAAGTAAGAATATACCAAATCATACCAAGTACATAGTCGGAGACAATTTCTGCAATATGAAGACGATCTTGAGTTGTACCATTAACATAATTTCGATTTAAATTAATTGCATCACTTGTAAAAGCACTTCCAAAACTATCACACATATCAAATTTATCACCAGATGGATAACCTCGATAAATCAATACATCAACAAGTTTATCAAATGGAGGTCCTGTTGGATATTTTCCTGAAGTCATTAATGAATCTATATATCGTTGTAAAATAACAAAATTATTTGGATCATAATTTTTGGGTTTAACAAATGGTGCTTGCTTTTTTTGGTTTGGTGTTATACATAAACGATATGAATATCCCATCATATTCAAATCAGCAGAACCTACTTGACCTAATTTATCAGGTGAGATGTATGGAGCTAATGTTCCATTGTCTAATGTAGCATTAACAGGATAATTAGGTATGAAATTAGCAAATGTTGTATAAGGTTGTACACCAGCATATGATTCATTATATTGATTACGTGATTCTCTACCCCATGTATAAGAAGCACCTGAATATCGAACAAGATCACCTTCATAACTAGCATCAATCCATACAGATGCTTTCCATGTACGTCGATCATCAAATGTAGTTACTTGAACAATACGTGTACTATTCATTTGTATGCTTTTATCAATCAATGGTCCTGTTCCAGTGATTAATTGAATATTTGGATACATAGAAAGTAAATCAAGAAAACTTTGTCGGCTTACATTCATATCAGGTTGATAAATAGGATTCGTTACATTTTTATAATATTTATAATTATTATTTACCCAGTCTTGTGCAACAGAACCCGCAACTACACTTAATCAAATGAAAATAAATGAAAACATTAACAAAAAAAAAAGATCTCAATGATTAAATTACTAGTGATTTCTAAGCCAAGATCTCGTAAACCAATTCCACCAGCTGTTGACATGCCGCCTATATACGATGTTGGTTCAATAATAACAATTGAAAAGGAAGATGATATTCGAGCTGCTGTTATTGCTGCAGCAATACCACCAGGTGTAGCACCATAAACCACAATATCATATGCGGTACTAACGGAACAGATGACAAATACTAATATTGTAATAGAATATAAATTTGATGGCAACATTATTACTATCAAGTTTGTAGTGCAAATAAAAGAAATAACAAACACTTGTGTGAAGACATTCTTTTATCTTTCATATCTCTTCTACTAACTGTTAGTGGAGACTATCAATAGAAAAAAACAAACGTATGAGATGCTGATAGGTTGTGTTGTTATATTGAACTAAAACATTTCTTTTCGATATCGAAATTTAAATACAATAAATTTTGAGTACGTTGATTTATTTTTTTCATATTGAGCATCATTTCTTCAATATGATGTTTGATAAACAAACAAATGCATGTAAAAAGAACCTATACATCTGTTATTTAGATTAAAGATCATGAAAAAGATAGATGAATTAACTTTTGAAATATTTTAATCATATATATCTTTTTTATGATCTGAAGTATCCGAAAGACACCAAATTAAAACATCATCTAAAGCTATGTGAAATCTAGAAATTCTGCAAAATTGATGTTGAAATATAAGAAACTAAATTGAACTCTCCATTGTTAGTTTTGTATTATACACTGTTAAATACGATTTTTTTACTAGTTTCATCTCACTTCAATTACACTTTCGTTTTTTTGAAGAAAATAAATATCATAAGTTTTTACATTCGTTGAGAACTAATTTATCTCTTTTAACTTATCGTAATATTTTTAAGGAATGGGCAAATATGTATATATAAGATTTTCATTACGGAACAAAATAATTTAATCGTATCAAGTCAACCATAAATTATATAGTCAAATGTACCATAAATAAAACTGAGTTTAATTAAAATTATTATTAATTTTAATTCATTGTATTGATTAGTAGATATGAAGAAACCATTGCAAGAATCAATACATTTATATAAAGCACCATAGAACAACCAAAAATAAATGTACATTTAAACTTTACTGTTGTATTTCATTTAATGAATAACTTTTAGAATGAATATTTGTTCATACTGAATATAATTATACGTAAATGAGAAAAAATAAAAGAATTATTTGATTTCAATAACGTTAGTGATGATCACGGCAACCTTAATCATCAACATATGAGATACAAGAGACTAGTAAAAATCAATAAAATAAAAGTATTATACTCAGCTTTATATACATACATCGGTATATTCCATAATGACAATAAGATAAAACTTATGAACAATTATTCTATGTCTAGCATTGAGTTCCAATGAGAATCATTCAGTTTATAATGATCATAAATTGTACGTGTATCATTGATAAATGTTTTACTTATTTAATTAATTAAAAGATTAATATAATAATTTCAATAGAAATATAAATCTTTCTAAAAAGAAAACGCCCTACGGTTGACGCTACATATGTTATGATTATAAATATGCATTTACTCTATATCTGTCAGTGCGTGGGATATGTCACTCATGCATAATCATTGTATCATGTCGATCACTTTGCACATAATAATTTTGCGTTCGTACATAGTTTTATTTTCCTCTTTTTTTTCTTTTCTCTATGATGATTATTCTGACCCATTTTCAATTGTAACTTTTACTGTTTGATATTATATCGTTGCAAAAGAATGAATGTATCGAACATGTTGACTTTTGCTTCTTTTATTAGTCATATTTTACTGCTTCATACTAAAAAGAAGTTACATTTAATGTATGTCTTTTTTATCTGTCTTTCAATCAAATATTTTTCAAGATAAAAAGTTCCTACGGCTATAAATAGGGTCAACATATCATCAAGTAATAGGTCATTTGTATTTGATCAAATACTATTAGTATTCTGTTCGAAAGTGGTGTAGCTAAAAACAAGTTGTAAGAGGAGAGGAGAAGTCTCATATCTGACCATGTCTGTAGAGGAAATGGAGGTTAGGATCATACGGGAACGACTTTTCTCGCTTCCATAATGCTTTCAAAATTCCTATTACGATTTCATTCTTCATGCTTGAAAAAGACTACCATTATCAGACGCTAACTTCTATCAATGTCGCACTTTGTGCAACATGAAATGACCTTAAATTAAAGATAAAATTATAATTTGAGGTATATAGGAAAATTATTTCTTTCATCAATTAGACAATTGAAGAGAGAAAAAAAAATACTAGTACATCAATAATATCGATGAAACAACGAAAAACATTCAAGAGAAGAAGATAATAATCATATTATATTACAAGTTAATTTAAATGATAGTCCATTCGAAGTTGATAGAGAGACCTCTAGCCCTCGTCTGATTGAGTCATTCATTGATATAAATTATCTTTGGACCAAAAATAATTAGAAAACATAAAGTTTAGACATACTAAGTAAGATTAGTAACTAAAAGCTTTTAAAACTAGATTATCTCAAGATCTATTTTCATCTTGTTTACAGAGAATATCAGTTTTTGTTTTCAAATACAAAGTTTTCTCTTTCCTTAGAAAAAAACTACATTCTGTAATTCTTTCATTATAAACATTACTTCACGTCAACATTATATAAACCGACTTAATCTGATGAGGGAACGTTTTCAGGTATATTCTTGAGACTTCAACAAAAACTATATAGTCTCATAAAGTCAAGTGTTATAATCTGAAATTTGAACAGATTAATAGCTTATATTGCTTCGATAAAAAGGTTACAATGAAAATATTTTTTGACTACGCCCTGAGGGTACCAGGGATGAGTTTTTCGACGAAAAACGTTCTCAAAAAAAAATTGAAACACTCATAAATCAACTCAGCTTGCTGTGCTGATTCTAAATACGTTATCAGCTTTGACGCAAATCCTATTTTTTTCTAACCGCAATCCGCTGAATACTAATCAAACACATACAAAATCATGTCTCGAGAATAGTTTGCTAGGAACTTCTTAAGTGAACAGTGTTTTCGGAGTTTGTACCTTTTCAAAAGCTCTTTCAATTGGTATATAAAGATTTATATGAATCAAATGATATGAGTCTTCGACGGTCAACAAGACAACAACCAGAACCGCGTCTTTAGCTAATCTTTCACTGATTACTCACGAAGTGACGAATAAAATACACCGATAAAGAATGATAATGCATAAGGAGATCAAATCAATCCATTCTTGAATTGCTAAAATGCCTACATATTTCGACGCAGAATTTTACACTAAATTGTCTGGTAGTAGTTTCAAATTGACTTGATAATATCTAGGAGCAATAATGACTCGAAATACTACTCTTAACTTATCATCATTGAAATCATGGGGATATCTTGCTGATATCTTTGCACAGCGACATTAATTTCATTTTGAAATAGTCTCATCGAATAAAGTACATCTCTGGTACCTCTCAGGATCTAGTCAAACAATGTTCTAACTGTAACTATTGTATTCAAGTAGTCTCAGTCGTTAATCTTTTTAGATTTGAGATCATAGCTCTTGACTTAACAAATCTATATAGTTTTTGTTGAAATCACAGGAACATATCCGGTGATCTTTCCTCATGAGATAATATCAATTATAGTCATTAATTTTTAAAACATACTTCGAAGTATAATCTCTTTATTTAAATTTTTCTTATTCATAAATCGTTCATAATATAAACTCTTCGTTGTATGCAGGTTTTTTTTTTCATTCCACCAGATAACATTTGAGGACAAAAAAGAAAAGAAAAGAAAACGGAAAGCTAAAGAAGAAACAAACATGAAAAATAGTACATTAAATTAAAAGAAAGAAAGAAAGAAAAAAGACCGAATATCATAAATTATAAAAGAAGATGTAAGTTTATCTCAACTTTTTCATCTTTAAGTATAAATTAATTGTACTCAAAATAGACAAAGTATTCAATAAACTTGAAGTGAAAAGTAAAAAGAGAAAGAATGACAATCTACGCCACTCCATGATATAAACCATTGCTCCCCCCCCCCCCCCCATCTACATGACATTTACACGTATTATATACATATAACAAGATATTTTAAATACAATTTCACAAGTAGCGCAGAAAAAAAGAAGAACAAATCACTTTCTAATTAGAAAAAAAAACTAGTTATGGTGAAAATGCACAAGACGTCACTGTTTAAGACACATTTTGGTTGATGAATATAATTATAGAATAAATTTCTAATGGAAAAAGTCATGCATGAAAATATAACATACATAACTATTATTGTTTAATAAGATTGTTGTATTTTAAGTATGAGGATTGTTGGCAGCATCCTAAAAAAGTATCAATTTTTTAGAATAAATATCTATCGACAAGAAAAATACAATGAGTAAATATAAAATAAATTCTCATGCTGCAAGCAAGAAAAGAAAGAATATTCAAAAAATCACTGCATTTCTATGGTATTAGTTATTTGAGACGAAGACTGAAAGAGAAAAAGCAAAAAAAAAAACAAAGCTTCTTGTTACCAAATTGATGATTGCCTACAAACGATGGTGATGTTAGATATACAATTAACCTTTGTTTTTTTATTTTTTATTTTTTGTTATTTCTCTATAAAATTAAAGATTAAAAACAAATATCACATACGCTTTGATCCCATCCAGCATCTTCACCAGCCATTTGATAATGTTGTTTTCGTAATTTATATAATTGTTGTTTAGCTTGTTCTAATGCTTTTTCTAATTCAAGAACTTTAACTTGAGCATCCATTTCTTTTCGTTTTGTTTGATGAAGACTTAATGAACTAAAGTCCATTGTAGCTGAAAAGAAAAATATGCTTTAGTTTTTTAGACATTGAATGATAGAGGTAAAGAAGGAAAACGTAACACTAATGCGTATATGAAAAAAAAAGTGTTTGTCAAAATAGAAATTAATTAATAAATACTAGTAAAATCTTTTTCGAACTTCTAGAAAAATAACTAATCAAAGATTCTTTGTTAAAAACTTTCTATCTATAATAATGAACTAGAATAGATTTGAAATTTGAAAGTAAGGACCTTAGAATTTGGTTTGTATTTGGAGCATGGATTTGCTTTTGGACCAAATCCATATAAACAATTTGGCGATCGCTATCAAAACGTAAACTATTTATATTAATGTCGATGTGTGGATTTGGGTATAGGTATAGGTGTGGACTGTGTTCGGTGT